CTTAGAGATTTTAATGTAAGATCCTAATATAATAATTATATATAATAATTATATATAATAATTTTACTTTATCTTATCGAAAATTGTTAAAGTTATAATTGTTTTTAAACTTTACTATACGTCTTTAATTATTTCGCTGAGTATATATATTATTGAGTAGATGTATATATTATACTATAGAAGTAATTAAGAATACTTTAAAATATAAGATCTAAAAAGAAAGAGAAGAATTACTATTTACTAGAAATAAATAAATAAATCCGTCAAAGTATAATAATAAGAATAATGAGAATAAAAGATTATATTATATAATATATACTATATACACCTACTCATCTACCTACCCACTCACCTACCTACCTACTCATCCATCTACCTACCTACCCATCTATACAAATACCAAGTATTCTCATTCAATCTTCCCTTCAGAATTCCCATTATATATATAATGAGAAGAACTATATCTTATTCTAAATAATCTCAATTTATATTATTTATTTTATATAGGCTATATAATACTATATATAATGATTCAAGTTAATGATTTCTTCTCCTCAAATAATCTTAATATTAATTAGTGTTTACCTTTTTATTGAAAATATTTATAAATTAAATCACTTTTTAAGGTTTTGTATAAAAGCATTTATACGAAAATAAAGAGAATAATTTAGATTATTTAATAAAATATTTTTTAAAAAGATAAACAAGATTATATTAGATTATATTTATATATAATCTATATAAAAGATTAAAATACTATATTCTTTATATTATCTTTTTTGATTAATATATTAGGAAGGGATTTCTAATTATAGTTAATTTCTTTAAGATTGAATGGATTAATTAATTTATAAATTAAACTATTATATCTATAGAATTTAATAAATCAATAGTTCAATTCATATTTACTACATTCTATTTAGAGTTTAGTATACTTTTCGAATTCGAAGTCCTCCTTTCTCTTCGAACGAAAAGAACTGTTTCACTGTTTCCCTTCTATTAGGAACCTTTTATTAAACTCTTCTTTTTTACTTTATAATACAAAGCACTCTTTTTTATATAATTATTAAATCAGAAAAAAAGATCTATCTATTATTTCTAATAGATCTAATCTACTTAAATTGAAAGAACAAAAGAAAAAGATTATAAAATTAAAAAACCTATTATAATACAAATAATTATTTAACAAAATAACTTTAAAAATTCTATACGAATTTGATTTTCATGTGTATCCTTAAAAGAATATATTAAATTAAAGTCTTATAAGCTTTAAGTTATTATTCTCTTATTAAGAAGATTCAATCTCCTATATTTCAAGTTTTACAAAAGAATAAAAGAATAACTTACTTTTATTTATTCTTATATAATAATTAAACCCCCTCACTCTTAATTCTTTCAAATTCAATTGAATACAAATACCCCACCCGATCAAATCGATTCAACATCTTCCCCCTTTTGATCACTCTACCCTAGCGAATAAGGCTCTTCCCCACTTATACGCAACTTTCAATTCAATTCATTCTTTTCCCTCCTCCCCCTTTAGCTTGATTGTAGAATGGAGGAGAAGGAGGGTCTTTAGTTCAGATTGATTTTAGGATTTTAAAGGATTTAGCTAGTATAATTCGCTCTTTATATTATATATTCCAGGTTTTCATTATAAATAGAAATTCTATTTATATCAGAATATATAATCATATACTTAAGCGAATTATATGATTCTTCTTATTATATATATAATAAAAAGAATCATATTTTATTCTAAATGATTTTAATTTATATTATTTATTTTATATAGATTATATAGTACTGTATATAATAATTCGAGTTGACGACTCCCCCCTCTTAAGTGATCTCAATACTTATATTTATTCATTTTATATAGACTTTTATAGTACTTTACCTGGTGATACGAATTCAGATCCTTCCTTAAGTAATTCAAAATTTTCATATAAATATCTTTATACAAAACCTCAAAATAATAATTTAATTTATAAATATCTTTAAATAAAGATAATTACTAATTAGTATTTATCTTACTTAAAAAAAAAGATCTAAATTCAAATTATTAGATAAAGTATTGTAAAAGTTTATATAAAATGAATAATATAAATTAAAATTGTATAAACATTAATCATTAGGATCTAGTAAAAAGCTTCAATTCATTAGCTACTATATTACAGTCTTTCGCGAATGCGTAATATAATAGCTTTAAGCGAAAGTAGAAAAGACTAGCTCTTCTTGTAGTATCTATATAAGACCTACAACTTCCTATATTTAGCTAGCTCTTTAGATAGAATACAATATAGACATTTAGAATCTACGAATATTATAGATACTATGTCTTCAGTATCCTTCTCGAACCAACAAAAATAATCTATATAAAGATATAATTCTTTTCCTTTTAATAAGGAAGAAAAGAATCATATGATTCGCTTAAGCATGTAATTATACGTTCCGACATAGAACCTCCTTATTATACCTTATAAGTCGAGTACTCTACTTTCTAATCATCTATCTTTAGACCACTTATTTACATCAAAAATCGCTTTTTTAGCTTATTAGTAACTCTTTTATTCATGGATAGAATTTATTGAAAATCAATATAAATATAATCCAGTTTATTTTAAGTTTATTTTAAAAATTTCGCACTTTTAGAATTTTTCTAAGTAGAGATCTGAAGCTCTAAAATATTAGTTTTTAATTTGTATAGGAATTATATATAAATTTGAAATCAGTTTTAAATCTTCAATAACTTTTTAATTAAAATTATTAAAATTGAATTATAAATTTTTATTATTCATAATATAGGGGATTTAAAAGAATTAAAAAAAATTAATTCATAAGTATTTATAAAAGTACTTTTAAAAGTATAGGGATTATTTTTCTTTTATTAAGTTATATCTATGTAATTATTGATTTTTTTTAAAAATTGAATTTTTTTATATAAATTTAAGCTTAAACCCTTTACAAAAGTAATTAGTTTCTTTTTATCAATTATAATTAAAAAGTTATTGATGATTTAAAATTAATTTCAAATCTATATATAATTCTTATATAAATTAAAAAACCGATATTATGAAGTTTCAGATCTCTATTTAGAAGAACCCTAAAAATCTGAAATCTTCAACATAAATTTAAAATATTTCAAATTAAATATATATAAGTTTTTAATTAATTATATTATATTTTAATAAAGATATTAGTAAGCTGAGAAAGTACTTTTTAGTATAAAATAATGACTTAAAATAGAAGTAGTTAGAAAGTCGAGTATGTCACGGGACTACTTCTGAGAGCATTTAGAAGCTTTACTACTATGTTATAAAAGTATAAAAGACTAGGAGATAGAACTAAAAGTTCTATCTTACTCTTATATATTATCGGAACATATGACCAACAACGTGATATTACATGTTACACTTTACCCTATATATGTACAAAGTGCATAAGTAAGAGTAGTATATGTATATAAATATAGCAATTCCCTTTTTATATGAAGAAAGTAAACAGAAATAAACAATCCTTTTATCTATACATATTGTGTATATATATCTTATCAAGTCTGCTTAACATATATATAGTAGAACAGGACAGAATAGAAAGGACTAGTATTATCTCGTAATAGAGTATCTAACTTAAACTTTATAACAAAACCCTTATAAAAATAATATTCTTATATACAAATTAAAAAAGTTAATAACTTTTTTAATATAAGAAATTTAAATTTCAATATGATTTATTTTTAATTATTTTTCTTTATAAATTATATAGATTTGAAAATTAAAAAAATTAAAAAAATTTAACTTGTAAGAGCTCTAGAACCTCCTCACCGTATAGATTTCGATTTCCCTACTAAAACCATGAATTTTTCAGCTTTTAAGACTCCTGTTTCTTTACTAAAACTTTATATAAAATGATAAAAAGAATTCAAAATCGATTCAGAATTAATTTAATTATATATAAAAAAACTAGTTTATTTTTAAATATCTTATTAATAAAGTTATTAGCTATTAAAAATAAGAACTATAAATTTTCTATAAAAAAATCGCTTATTTTATATAAAGAAAGTATTACAAATTAAGAAAATTTAATTCTTTCAACTTTAAATCTATATAATTCATTAACAAAAATGATTAAAAATAAAATATACATTTTTTTCAATAAAGAATAATATTAATTACCTATTTTGAAATCTTGAAAATAAAATTCCCTAAATTGAAAAACTTATCAACTTTTTAATTTATATAAAAAAACATTAATTTTATAGGGATTTTATTATAAATTTTATAAGGTATAATAAGTAAGTTCGATAACTTCTAATACTTTTTTACATAAAACAAGTTATTTTTCTTTTAGAAAATTTATCTTCAATAATTTATAACTTTGTAATTAAAATATCTAAAAATAAATTAGTTTTTTTATATATATAATGAAAATAATTCTAAATCGATTTTGAATTCGTTATTATTATTATTTTATATAAAGCTTTAGTAAAGAAATAAAGGGCTTAAAAGCTGAAAAATTAATAATTTTAATGAGGAAATCGAAATCTGTACGATGAGGAGGTTCTAGAACTCTTACTGCTTGTGGATATAAATGATAATTATAATTATAATTAAGCTTAAGCTCCGTTCATTTCATGACTAGATATAGAAAGATATCTAGGTAGATACCTAGGTAGGTAAACGTAAACGTCAACGTAGCCCAGGCAACCATCAACGACAACGACAACGACGACGTTTACTCCCAACGTCTTTTATTAATAGTAAGTATCATATAGAAGTATCAAACCCAATTCCCCTTTTCTTTCCGTTTTCCCCAAACTCCATTCACCAATGCAATGCAATGCTTGCTTGCTAACAACCTAACCAACTAACAAAACCAACCGCTAGAAATTTTATTTCAAACCTTTCTGTACTTCCTCACAAGCTCCAATGATTCTGAGCGAGCCCATGTTCATATTTTAGATTAAATGCTGTTGCATGTATTGCTGAAAAGACACATCACGCGGTAGCAAAACGACTATGACCCCTGATCTTCTTCCCGTATTTAAAGAAGAGGTAGGGGAAAGGCGTCATGACCAGCGTCAAAAACGCCAGGAGAGTGGTTGCCCATTGATCGCCGAGCTTGTGATACATTTGGATCCCAAAGAGCGGAAAGATAGCTAGTGGGTTTTGTTCAGCCTTTGTTGTCTGTAATTCTCCTCTCGTACATATAAGACATTTAAAGGTATGTGGGTGAGGGATCTCAGGTCGATGGGAGAGAGGGGGGAATAGGACTAACCTCCGAAACTACTTCTCGTGAAACTATTCGCTGCTAGGGCGCTGGCTGCATACAATGGATATGCATCAACCAGGAATGTAAAGATGCCAGTAAAGACTAGAATGGTTCTGCATGAATCCCAGCCGGTTAGCTACTTTTCCAAGTGTATCGTTTGGTACCACATCAAGTGCGTGTCATGTGAGACATCTCGAGTCTTCTTTCTGACCAGAGCATGAAATAGAGTGAAGATCCAGCATCACATTTCCCCAAAAAGGAACAGATGTGCAAAAACATGAAGTGACAAGATCAACTACATCTCCATGCAGGAACGAAACCACCATGATGCAAGCGCCACTTCGGCGATGGAACATACATGGTTCGGGGACCTAACTGCAAAGCGAGACACACGAGAGGACATCACGACTAATGAGGAAATTTTATGAGAAGGGGAAAAAAAAAACTCGACGTACCCCATTCCGAAAATACCAGATCCAATGATTGGGAAAATCCAATGAACAGATGAATATGTTGTCCATGCAAAGAGAAATAAACCGATAGGAACGAGACAGGCTCCTAGAATCGCTGGAGGTAGACGATATTCGGGTTCGGATCCACCAATTTCACCCGTCATTTCTTCTCTCTGCTTGATCAGTCGTACATAGTTCTTATGCCAGAACGGGTCAGTAGCCGCTGCGATTAGCATTCCGATGAATAGACCGAGGAAGGTCAATCCAACTTGGTATTGTTGGAATCCGTGGTTCCCCTCAAAGACGAGAGGAAAGGCGCCAAAGAATAGGTAGAGGATACCGAGCAAGATGGCCGAAAATATGCAAAGGTTGAGACACATGGGCTCAAAGATTAATAATTGACCGGGTCTGAGTAGGGAATAGCCAATGGTCTTCGGAATAGACTTGTTGAGTCTCTCATTAGGTGCAAACCAACGATCATCGCCAGTTTCTTTTCGAATCTTGCGAGCTTTGGCCTTCAAGACAACCGGATGATAAGTTTCTGGGACGAGAGAAAAGATCAATGTTAAGTTGCACGCTGACCAGATGATCAGAACGTAGAATGTCCAACGCCATGACGTGAATTGGTTAATGAATCCCGAGATCAGTGGACCAAATGAGGGACCGATGAATGGCGATGCTGTATAGAGTAGCATAGGACCTTGAAGTTGTTCTCGATTAAATAAATCTCCCACTGTGCCTCCTGCGACGGACAGGAAAGCACTTCCGGAAAGACCAGCAAAGAATCTCGCTACGAGCATCGTCTGAATATTTTGCGCCACAGCCGAAGGAACCAGCCATATTAAGAAGAAAGAAAAGGAGCAAAGATATATCGGACGACGACCATAAAATTCACTATTGATGTCAGTAAGTGATTTGAAGCAGAGACATCAAATAGAATGCTTACGAAAGAGGTCCGAGTAACATTGGTCCCAGGCCAAGTCCAAGGATAAACATAGAAAGTCCAAGGGTAGCGACTTCTCGAGAGCAGTGGAATTCTTCCTCTATCTGGGCGTAAGTACTGGTATACATTGATGACGCACATGTACTAATATGCAAGTCAGATTAGTATGCGTAATATTCCACGTTTTGTTTTATGATTTGGCTCCACCATCTATGAGTGTCTGTCGTGTGAAAAGATTGGTGAGTTTTGATATCAGCCAAGATTACCAGATGAACCCCATCTGAAAATCCCAAGGCGGAGGAGTACCATTCAAGCGAGGAAAACATAAGAGAAGATGGAATGAACTTACACACAAAACGAGCTTGCGCTCACAATAATAACCACCAACCACTTTCTTCCATGAGCCATACTTCTCGGACACCTGGGATCACTATCGCCACCATCAAACTTCACCTCGAAAGGATCTCTCGCTTCATCCCCTTCTCCTTCAAACTCCCCCGCAGGATTTTCTGGATCATCGCAACCATATCCGTTGGAAGAACGCCTTCTTGCTAGTGAAATGGATCGACTTAGTTTTTTGTCCCATGTTGGAATGAGTGTATCTGGAGGTGAAATTACGATGGGAGCGAATTCCTTGTCAAATTCGGTTGCAGCATGTGAGAGTTCTGAAGGCGAGACGGGAAGTTTCTCGAAATCGAGATCTTCTTGGATTGAGGACATTATGAGATGAGTATGAAGTGTTGTCGTTGATTTGAGTTGAGTTGAGTTGAGTTGAGTGGAAGGGATAGGAGTGAATCAATGAATTGTTTGTGAGAAATGGGGAGGGGATGTGAAGTTGCGATTGTACTGTGGTATTAAGGTGTGGATGAGATGATGGCTCTTATCAATTCACTACTTGGACGGATGAACTCATATGAGTAGGTAGGTAGGTAGGTAGGTTGGATGAGTATATTGTTGTACACATTCACTCCCTCTGGTTGGAAAGATATACTCGGGGCGCGAGATGAGGTGCAAGATGTGGTGCAAGATGGCATTGGGTCATGATATATATAAATGGTTATGAGAAAGTGAAAAAATATGGTTAGTGGATATTATTAATAACTTTAATCCCAAGCTTTTCACAGCTCTCCTAGCTAGGGATTAATCAGCAAATCTCAACTTGGTCATAAGATTTTCATGAGAGTAATAGATTCTCTTTTTTTCTGGATTAAATGGGGGATTTTGGGGGATTTTGCTAATATTGAGGAGAATGTGGGGGCGGATATTGCGGAGTTTGCGGGAGTAATCGGCACCTCATTATATCAATCATTCTTTATGATTTGATCTGGTCATATTTTTATAATGAAGATTATATTGAAAGGGATAGGATAGGATAGGATAGAATGAGGATGAATATGAATTGAACTTTTCTCACCTCTTCACTCTTCACCTCTTCACCCCTCACCTCACTGTTATTCGATATCCAATATCCAATATCAATCAATTCATCCTTTCACCGCTTCCATGATATATTCATCATCTCTCCATCGAGCCCCTGCGTGCTTGTCTTGTCCGCTCGGTTGCATAAACGCCGATGATCTCCATTTATCGTTTGAACATTTATCCCCCTTGGCGTTAGTGTCAACACTGCATGCACATTGCACAGTAAAGCATCGTCATGAGGGGTGTCGTATCATCACAACTCAGTGTCGTTATACTTCAACGCCGGTACCTGATAACCGACACTCTGAAAAGGCTGACCTCTTCCCAGTTGAGCTGGGAAAATGAAGTTGTCCCGAGAAAGTAGACGTCTCGATCAATCAACATCCATATCATTCGTTTGGCTTTGAAGTTCTTCTGAAAAAGTTTAAGATTTTCATGCTATCGGACCCTTGCCAAATTCAATAGTATAATATCGCCCCAAATCATACATGAGTTGGTTCTTAGGTGGTAGAGAAAAGCTTTTCCATGTCGATCTGTTGTAGTGATATTACATTTCCTATCAAAAATACTAGTCGAGGCACTTTAACCTTATTTGCTTTCCGGGGAAACTTTACTTTCCTCAACTTAAAAGATAGCTAGTCGGCGTTTTAAAAGGCCGACTATTATTAGTTGCCCATGCTTCTTGTTGCTATTATGGTGATTGATATTCCTCGGGAGCCTGTGCGTCAAGGAAGAACGTCAATGTCTTAAATTCCGTAGTTAGTACTGGGTCTATGCGGAGTGCATATATGACATACGGCGAGACATCCCTCTGTATTCGGGAGTCCGTAAAAAACAAACATTCATGCTTAATTTTCAGAGCTTCACTTTGGTCATGCCATGAGATATCGTTTGTTTACATCTAAGTGCTTTAGTAAACACGCAGAGAAAATGATGAGGAAGATTTAGAATAAAGCAAATGTAGTGTCAATTGCAAAGCGGTGGTATCTATTACTCATATCTTGCTATCCTAACTCCAGTCCCAAAGCATGTGAAAAGCGTGTTCTCGTTCAGCTATCCAACTCATCCATCATTTTCCTTACCACAATTGACTCACCCTCATCCTTGCCACTTAAATCTACTCTCCCTAAACATTCCCACCATTCCAGTCGGAAGCAATCCCTTCTCCACAACATTTATTCCCCCAAACCTCTCCTCCATATCTGCCCCGTAAAGCTGCAAAATCCACTTTTGGTAATTCGTCATCCCTCTCGTCTCCCATTTGCCCCCCTGCACCACTCTTCCCACCATGATATCAACCGCGCATTCCCTTGGCTCATCCATCAGCTTCTCATACGCACTATGCAGCGCTCTCGATGTGCGTTCTCGATATTGGGTATATTCTTCAAACGAGGGGAAGCCTTCAAGGTCGAGTTCTTTATCACGTCGATGACGACTTGACCATACGTCGCCATCATCGTATTGCGTTTTCGCGCGTTCGTAATCATGACGCTCTTCGGTGAAGAAAGTATCCATGATTTCATCTGGATTCTCTTCAACTTGATCGCGAATCAGATAGAGTGGTACAAAAGGAGATTTGAGGTCGAGACCACCCATGGACATGGGGAAATAGAGATAACCTTCTGGAATGTTTTCCACACCAAAACGAGCATGAAGCATGGATTTGAGAGTTGAGGTAACGGAGCCACCGGTTTCGGAAAAGAGTTGGGCTTGAATACGGGAGAACGTCGTGAGAATATCTTCCACGTAGGCGAGTCCAAAACAATGGGCAGGTCGTCCGAAGTTTGTGGTGAAGAAACGGGAGCCGTAGATGTTCCAGGCTTGAATCCAATCGAAAATAGACTTGCAGGCTTTCAATTGAAGACTTAACTCTTTGATGTGGTTATCAACAAGCTTTTGATCAATCAAGAATCGACCAGTGAGAGGATCCAGGTACAGGAAATTCCAACGAACAAGTCCTTCGGGGAGAGATGAAGGGACCTTGGTGATAGTGCTAGGGTGGCGAGTCACGGTGCAGGAACCTGTTTTATCAGTATTAAAGGCAAGTCCCATGAGGGCTGCAAACTCTTCCATGGCATTCCAACCAGATACGCAAACTGATTCGCTACCCCAGAACCAAATATCGTCGTGTAAGCGGTATAGACGTGCGCCATTGGTTCTATTATTCATGGCGAAATCAAGGCAGAAGAGAACAGTTTCGCCGAGCATGTCACTTAGTGGACCACTAATTGGAGTCCCGCGTTTGCGGATACGAACAGGAGCGGATGGTCCATCAGAAGGAAAGACCATGGGTGCTTCAAGCGCACGGCGGAAGAACGATATCCATTTAGAGGATACACCGAAATGTGATAGAACTGAGAACATGCTTGTATGGGAGAGAGAAGGTCCAAACCAAGCGAAATCGGAACGAACGACCGTCACAGGATTGCCAAGACGACTTTGCATTATTATTTCGGTGGCCAAAGTGTGAAGAACTGATTGTGTAATTTGTTGAGGAGATTTGCGAGTGTCATTCTCGCAATCAGAGTCATCGTCGGCGTATCCGCCTCGTTGTTCCTCAGGGGAATGTTGTAGATGTTCGAGAAAAATATCAGAGTTGAAGTGGTTCTCTCGAATAGCTTCAACGTTGATTTTATTGCTACTAGGTTGGTCAAAGAAGTATTCGCGTCTGTGTTTGTCTGCTTTTGAAACTTGTGTAGTGGAGCTGGCCCAGACATTGTGGGAATTTTTGAATTCGGTAAGCTTTCCTTTGAAGAATACGGACCATTTAACGCCGAGATACCGAAGAAGAATGGATTGTAGAAGATCTTCGTCGTGATAAAATCGGTAGCGACCGTTGACTTGCCGACGTTGTTCGACAGGCGTACCCTCTGATCCCCATTGCCACTTTTCGAGTGAGGATATGCGCATATTTAGAACGTCGGCAACTTCAGCGAGAACAACCTTATTGCTTTGAAAGTCTTTGAGAATAGCGCGCTTTTCATCGGTAAGAAGATCACTGCGTAGGAGGCCGTTGATCACCCATTTCAAGGAGTTTTCGTCAAAGTGAACTTGGTTTTCCATCTCCTCTTCAAAAGCAGCGGTCTGGAGTCTTAGTTTCTCCCAAGCATTCTTAATGTCCGACGTCGAGGTAAAAAGCTTGGTGAGATATGATTCGATAGCAGCAGAATCAGTCTCTAGAGGATTAAAAACATAATCTTCCCATTTTTGTCGCTGCTCATGCATCTCCTTTCGGCCAATGCTCTCAAATTCGTCATCGGATGTCGTCTTTCTTCGGACGCAGAAAGCCACTCATTGACAAGTCGACCATATAAAGAAGCATATTCGTATTTCAACGAGTGAACGTCAAGCTCCTTCTCAAGTTTTTCTTGCCAATCTTTGAGGAGGCCTTCTGAAACCGATGGGTCATGTTGAGCTTGTTGAAGGAAGAGTCGGATGTTGTACAACGAGATCGATTTGTTATCCTTGAGCTTTCCCATGGAAGCAAGACTCTCAATACGATCTAGTAAGATGCGGAGTTTCTCACTTTGCTTGGGCTGGTCTGAGACGGTTTTGAGGAGTTCCGACTTGCCTTGCTCGAATGCAGATCTCTGGCTTGAAATATCTTCGAGTTTGATCGATGTGATGGAGGAGAGGGTATGGGAAAGAATATCAGTTGATGCCATGATTAAATTTTCCTGTAATGTAGATTGTGAACTTTGATAAATTTTGCTAGTAGAAGATGTGCTTTGGCAGCGGGTGATTGTAGACAAGAGAGAAATATGAGTGTAGGTGTAAATGGTGAGCTTTTTTTTAAGAGGATGGTGTGAAAAGGGAAGTGAAAGGGGTGGATCAGTGCCATATTTATATTTGAGAATATTATGGAGCTTCAATATGAATAAAGACCAGATTTCACACAGTTATGATGATATCATCCCCGAAGGGTACAATGGGTCATTCCAGGCACAAAAGAAAGCTTCTCTGGCTTCTGAAAGTGGCTTGGTATGATTGAGAAAGGAAGAGCAACTGGGTTATTCAACTTTGCTAATCCAGTTTCCTCTTAGTCGTTTTGGCAAAACATAAAAATGTGTGTGTTGAGATGCACTGCTTAACCAATAAACTCATCAAAGAAAGAACTATCCATGTATCGACTGGGGCCAACCATCAAAGATCAACAACGGCACAGAATTGCTTTCTCCACTTGAATTATACATGAGTCAACGGCAAACAATTTTCGGAACTGTGAGTAAACAGTGGAATCCGCGGGGGCCTCCTGGGAGGAGGCCTTCCGGCAAGATTTCCCGCCATTGAGGAGGAATAGGAGAGCCCCACCAATTATACCTTTGACGTACGTGCAGCACAAATCAGATATCACCGTAATGCGAGAGCTCTAAATTCGCAATGACAGCATTGATAATAAAGGAAGAGGGACCAGGTGAGGTTGAATTTAGGGAGTGTCAGAATCTATATCGGTTATTCTTTAAAAAGGTTAGTGCGGCATGTTCCTGTGGCTGTGTTGCTCTTACTTGAGCCACAATCTTCTTGCTCCCGTTTCTGCTATAACCTCAACATTCATACCATTATGATTTCATTTTGTATAGATATTAAGATGGTACCGAAATCTACATGCGTTAAAGTTTTAGGTGGTCTAACGGCCAATCACTCTGTTTGAGTACCGCCAAACCCCGCCATCTTCTGCTGTTCATACCTTCTAACATACAAACCAAATGGCCAGTGCTATTTATAGACCGTTGAATAATACAAGGCAAGAGATTCGAGTGATCAAGATTCTCCCTGCGAAATCAGGACGGTTAGATGAGGCACTAGCTTGGATATTTGAATATATTTCTTTAGTAGATGACCTTGGATCCGGTTTCACTGCGTTATCATATACATGGGGGGATGTCGTTCATGATTAGGATTATCCCAATGGCGAGCAAATAGCTAGAGGGCTTAGTGACCCTCCGAAAGCATTGTCGTCTGAGTCTAATACTGTTGATGGAGTACCTGTAAAGATTGGTACAAACCTCCTGGATGCTCTCAAGCACTTTCGATCCGGAACGGCAGTAAAAACGACTCAATTGAAACTCTTCCACCATACACAACCCGTATCATCGAATCTGTTCGAATTCCTGCTAATCTACCGCTCCTAGATGGCAGACTACATTTTTCAGATCCAACAGCCAAGCCTATGGAACTTCTCGATATTCTCCAAACATTTCGCAAATTCGAATGCAGCGATCCGCGAGATCAAGTCTATGGATTGGCCGGACTTTCCAATCCATATCACCAGAAACTGGCAATTGATTATTCCAAGAGCGTGTCTGAAATATACAAAGATGTCGCTCGCCTATTTGTTGAAACAACAGATCGACTAGAGATGATATGCCCAGATGAAAAAACAAAATGTAATTGTCCTTCCAGCTCACATCAAGATTTATCTTCACTACCAACATAGGTACCGAATTGGTCTTGTATTCGAGAAGGTACCGGTCTTCGTCCTAGACTCCTAAGAGGTTGAACTGCGGATCATTTATTTCATTGGAACGCCTCGGGGAATATGCTCACTGATGCACATATTTCCGAGGACGGCAATGTGCTGGATTGTAGAGGGATATGTCTTGCTACTATTACTCATATCGTGCATCCAGTGGATGATCATGGACCTCTTGATTTTCACAATATACTTGAATTGTTCTATAAGACATATGATATTAATAGCTCTAACCAAGTGGCGCTATTTACTGCGCTGAGAAAAACCCTCTTGAAGACGGGGTAAATAGGCGAGCTTGTATCGCAGCACCTTCCAGTCCCCACCTTTATCAAGATATGTATAATATGTCTCGCTCAAACTTCACCACTGCGAGGAAGCAATGCAGAGCTAGTGAGCAAACTGTTTTACTATCTCAAAATGGCAATAGAGGATCGATGTTTCTACACAGGCAAGACGAGCGAGGACGAACGAGGGAAAAGCGTGATGGGTGTTACGTTTCCATTTTCAAGAGAGGGATATGTGATTGCTGTGTTGTATGGATGTAGATGGCCTGTTTTGTTGAGAAAGAGAGGACTTGAGGAGCGGGATGGGTTTACGGTTTTGGGAGAAGTGTATGTAAATGGGTTTATCAATGGAGAAGGGCTGAGATTGGGAATTCGCGAGAAAATGTTTGAGATATATTGAGGTGGATAGTATATCAGGATTGGTCGTAGACTTTCAATCAAAGGGGAAGGCGTTCGTCGATTAAGCGAACGATCAGTCATCGAGGTAAACTCCAACATTATGAACGCACAATGACTTCTGCCTCTTTGAACTTTATTAAAGTCAATTAACTTTTGAAATCCCGCTAATCTTAAAGGCTGTCTACATCCGGTAGATTGAGCAACAGTCTATATGAGGCAATGCGGTTACTTTGATGATTATGCTTTTTACCATAACATAATATTTAATAGTCTCACAACTCAATCACAATTCGACAATTCGTACGCTACATCACACCATCACACCATCAAGCCTTCTCCTCATCATTTCCCTTTTCTTCCTCATCGCTCAAAGGACTCAAAATTTCATCCAAAATCGCACCCGCATCACCCAAAAACAACCAATCATCCTTGCCCAATCCACCCGCACTACCCAAGCCCTCCGCATCCATATTGATCACTGCGACTCTTGCGCCTGCATCTCTCGCAACATCTACATATCCTGCTGCCGGATATACTTGTGCCGTTGTTCCAACGACTAAGATAAGATCAACGGGCGCCTTGTCAATCCATTGATCTACTTCATCAAGAGTATCTTCTGGAAGAGCTTCTCCAAACCATACAATATCCGGACGCAAGAGAGCAGTGGGGCATCGGGGACAATGAGGAAGTTCTTCTTTCTTGATTGTGGTTGTTTGTTTGTTTGGATCAAGGTGTGTGATCATTGCTTGCTAAATGTATATTAGCCATAAGTGACTTTGAGGAAGTTGCATCGTACTTGGACTTCCGGGCCAACTCGGGATAACATTGCAGGACTGAGGGTTAGGGGGATATGAGGTCTTACTGTTTCCGTAGCTGCGGGGAGAATCTTGATATCATCTTCGCTGGTGATTGTGATAGATGGATGGAAAGGATCGTTGAAGTTGTTGCGTTCACGGTAAGAACAGACTGGGTCGGCGCATTTAATATCACAGAGACATCCGTGAAGAAGCTTGAGGGAGCCTTCTGGGTGGCCCGCACGTTGAGCCAGACCTGATTGGATCAGTCAAGACTTAGGTCTAGTTCCCCCGACAGTGAAAGAAATTGTTCAGAACACTGAAATTGAATTAAGAATCTACGTCGGTTGAGAGATTGCTACTTAACAACTCTCCATCACTCCAGGACGGGTACTTTCGGCCTCAGAATATGATAATGAACAGACAACATGAGACACATCTCTTCCAAACTCACCATCAACATTCTGCGTCAAACACACAAATCCCTCTTCTCCGTCCTTCTTCATTCTCTTCGCCAACTCCGCCAGCGCAAAATGCCCCTTATTCGGCTCCGCAGCAAAAGCCTTATGACGTCTATATGAATAAAACAACCAAACCAAGCCCGGATCTCTAGTGAAAGCATCCATGGTAGCAAGATTTTGCGAGCGATAGTTTCTCCACATGCCACCTGGACCTCTGAAAGTATCAAGACCAGATGAAGCGCCAAGACCCGCACCGCAAAGAGCGAGAACTCGAGTGGAGGAGGCGAGTACTTTTTTGAACGAGGCGACATCGTTACTAGGTCCGTGATCGGGGTTGGAGCTGGGAGCGCGTTGCAAAGGCATTGGATTTGAGGACGCCATTTTGAATTTACGATGGGGGTTGATGAATTTTTTGATTACAGAAAGTTGATGTGATATGGGAATAGTTGTTGGTAGGATATTTTGGGTATGCAGGTGCATTATATGTAGAGTTTTGTGTGTAAGGTTGATTGGCGCAGTTTATATAACCCCGCGCCATGGTTGCCTAGGGAGGTAGATACCAGTTTTTGTGTATTGGCAGACTCACTGGTAAAAATTTAATAGAAGGCAGTGTAACATTGTGGATGAATTGTGAGATAGCAATTATTGATTTATGGGGTAGGAGATATGCAGGTGCCACGGAGGTTCTTATCGACGATCACGTGGCAGAACAGTGTCTGACAAATTCTGACAATCAAGCAAAAACCGATGTATGAAGCGTCGTTAGATCTACAAATACTATGCAATAGCCACATATTCTATGCGGCTCTGAGTTGAGCGTTACTCAGGGGAAAGGCACAACCCTATGTGTTGCGTGATACCCGGAGAGTATGGATAAGTAGATGAATAATGTTGAAGCAAGCCATTCCTCACCTGCAACAAGTCGGATATTACGATCAGCAGTCTAAACAAATCACAGCGAAGCACAGGATAAGGATATGAGGTTGCTGGACCTTCATAATCAGAATACACAAGCTGGAAGGGTCCTAAGGTTGAGTGCTGGCTTTCATTTAGCTACATGACGAAAAATGACGTTCGAACGTCCAATTACCCCTATTCCCAAACGAATTCCCATTGATATTGTCTCAAGAGTTTTGCGCCTAGACCCAAAGCGAAGAGAAAAATCGACTATGATGTTATGCCGTTTCATGAAACCTGAAAATACCACTCATGCACTTTATGTCGGAGGTCGGAGACTTGAGAGTGCTGAAGATTCGGCCTCGCGATTAGATTATAAAATTGACATCCTGTTGATCTGTAGAAATCGAATAGGCAGAACGAAAGTCTTTCTGGAGCATTGTTTTTTAGAGGGATGACAATGTGAAAAGAAATTACATTCACTCTTGGTGTCATTCCTATTGCAAAAACAGTTGTTTCTTCGCTAACAATGATGGATTTGTAAAGATGAGGCTTTTGCACAACGAATCCGCCTCGTCTGATAAGCTTACTCACTGCCACCGATAAGACTTGGTAAAAAAACACATCGTCATTCAGACATGCAACAAAACTTTTGTCAAAACGGTAATCTCCGTCTTGATTAATGTACGACAAGGCGGAAAGAACAATAGGGTGATTGGGTGGGCTATAAGAAAAGGACTTCATAACTCTCGACAATCCCTTCTTCCCAGTTGTTGAGTCCGGTAACAAAGTTCTGTCTCCAAATTATAGTAACTATTGCATTTGGTGAAAAGATGTTGACAGTGTTCAGATCTCAGTAACAAGAAAAGACCTATCACTTGATGACTTTTGAAGTGTTCTGTTCTCAGTGAAGGACCGGCATTGGCTCGTGCGTCAAGCGGTTCCGCTCCGACAGAATTGAGAAAAAGGCTGTGCTAAGGCATCTTGCAGGTCTAGACGAGACCAACTTACTGTTGATGTATAAGCTTCATGCAGGACTCCACCATATGCTGAGGACATAACTGGCTAGGCTGACAGACAAATGTTTGGTAGCCTCATAAAAAATGAAAACGTGGTGCCTGTCAAGCATTTCAGCCTACTAGGAATATTCTCTTCATTCTCCGTACTTTCCTTTGTCCATAGACATTGCATAATGAAATAGCAAAAGGGTATCGAAGAGAATCCCGTGACCATAACGACAGAACTCCACCTAGATGCCTTCTGTATTAATCATTCGTCGGAATCATAATCGACCAAACCAGCTACCTTTGGTATAGACGGAGCGTGTTCAAGAACAGGTGTGGATCTCTTCCTCTTAACACCAGCTAGCAAGGTTTTGGCTATGCTCTTGGTGCCGTTTGATTGCTTGTTGACAAGGAACGGATCCATCGCAGCTCTTGTATTACCTCTGATCTCAGCTACGGCATCGTTACGTTGTTTTGCAGCTAATGCCTCAGCTTGCTTTCTTCGCGAGAGATTTGAGACCTTCTTGTCTGATGTAGACGGTTGGCTGTCGATTTCAAAGAGAGGCTTCGAAATTGTCTTATTGATATTGATTTGAGAATCTTTACCTTCAAATTCAATAAAAGCCGCCCTCCTTACATCTTCCTCGTGCTCTGGCAACAAGTCAAGGCCTAAACTCATTTTATCTTGTAGTGCAGATGCTACGCCAGCTTCTTTTTCTCGCGCCTTTCTCCCCTCTCGAAAAGCTCTTCTTAATTTTCTATTCGCTTCATGTGGATCTTCCCATTGTTCAGAAAGATCTTGCAACTCTTCCAGTCGTTTCTTACTGCCTACTAGCCTTTCTTTCTCCTCGACCTTTCCCTCTAAAGATGCAAATGCATTGTTTCTTAGATTCTCCCTCTCCTCTTCGGACAATATTTTGGTATCCCCGTCCAGAACTTTATCTTCGCCTGTATCTCGTTTCCTCGCGCCATCAGTGATCACATAGGCTGTATTCTTTGGATCCGTACGTATCTCAATCCAACCGCCACAAGTAATATGTTTCATGCGAAAACTATAGATTGGCGTTGAGAAATAGCTGCCTACTCTCTTTTTCTCCGCATTGAATCGTACCCCTTGTCCTATTATGGTGGGCTTCGGGCAATGCGTGCACCAGATAGGATATGGCATCTCGAATCGTACCGTCAGAATACCCTGAGAAATTTTATTCGCTCGAGCTCCTAAAGCGTGCTTTCCATGTAACTGGTTTCCACTCATCAATCCCTCCTGATCAGGAGGGACATAACGTCCCATATTGAAGCCTTGCATTTTTTTGTTTGGTCGGAAGTGAACTTCGTGATGATCGAGTCTGTATGAGTAACGCAAAGATAGAATCGCCTGTCGGTTGGCATATACTTTCGTTGACGCGAGAACAATTCCTGTTGGTCCTTTATTAAACTTGGGTGTTTAACGTACGGTGATTTTCTGTGACGTAGATTGGCAAACTTGAGATGTGGTTGTGGTAAGATCGAGACGAGAAATCCCCAAGTTAGTAATTAGCATCGGCTCTTAGTAATACCGTATCACGTGCAGATGTAAGATTAAGGTTATCGCCTCTCGAGATTTGAGTATTACTGTTTCCCGTCGCCAACACACGTTCTTGTTATCATATTGCGACATCTTTGTTTGACATTGATTTCAGAAAAGCGCTGCTTAATACCTCTACTATTTTATTCACGTATCAAAGAAAGGATTCATCAAACTTTTTGTCTTATATACACAAGCAAAGACTCAGGTCTACCATGTCGGACGTTGCAGGATTAGAGAATGATATCAAGGAGTATAAGCTGCAGGTAGGTTCGCGAGTT